GGAGTTTCTGCAAAATCACTGGTGGTAAACCCAGTGGCGTGTGTGTGTGATAGATATCAATTTTCTATCTCTGTTGCACCGTCAATCATGGACTTCATAAGTAAAGCAGAAGGGGATTTATGTCTATCCCTACCAACCCTTTGATTGAATAAATCAAAGCTTTTCAAAATAAGGAATTGTAGACATCCATTGCACTTTCTCTGGTGTGACATTTCTCTGGACTCCCCAACGAGTTTACTCCCTTTCCCTTTTTCTTCCAGTGGTGCACGAGAGTCCTCCCCAGTTCCCAGTTGCTGGGGTGGTGAACCATGGAGGGTTCCTCCTGAGTGAGTTTAGAAAATTACCATACATACTCATGATTATCCACTCAGTGAGAAGAGGGTACAGGTGGTTTCCCTCCTTCCATTTTTCCTGGAAGTTTTTCCCAGGTGGACAAATGTCAGTTGGAGGGGGTCCGGCCCAGGCGGTATCCTCTTTGTAATGCCCGGTTCGGGATGACAAAGCCCTGTTTCCTATGGTTATGTGCAGTAGATGCTTCTCTTCACATTATTTCTGGTTGCAGGAGGTTCTTTCCCTGCTTTTACAGTTGAGTTTGGGAGACTTCGTCTGCCTCGTAATACCGGCAACAGGACATACACGCTATATTCCTGCAGTTGGGCAAATGTTCCATGTTCTCCTCATAATTCTGAATGCAGGATGTCTCTTCCCTGCACTTATGGTTGGGGGAGTTATGACATTGCCCATAACACAGGTTACAGCCATTACCCTGTTCTTACGGTTGAGTTGAGGCAGTACCACAACCCTGTAATGCTGAGTTCAGTTTGTCCTACTTTTTGCTCCTTACTTTTTTTTTTTTAGTTTGTCCAGTGTCAATCAAAACCTCACTTCCTTGACATATGGCTCTCTGTTTACTTATGATTGGAGTTGATGGGTATATGTACAACACGGTCCATATGTCCTAGCCACAATCCTCAACCTCCTAATACCAAGGATGAGTTATGGAACCTCATCTGTCCAGTTGAGGTTAGGTATGTACCTAGCTGATTCTGTTTATATGTTGCTACAGCTTGCATCTCAGAACATATTACACAGGTACAAGTATTTTCCTTTTCTACCCATTTTGGTTTAATTTCATACTTCCTGGGCAAAGAGCATACTTATTCCAGAAATAGTGCAGTACTCCACAGCTTCATTTTCATCTCTGATCACACCTGTTCATTCTGTGGAGGTAAGACTGTATTGGAAGCTAATATTTTTTTACACTGAAAATATATTTCCAATAAGTACTTATTTCCTTCCCACTGCCAGTGTTCTCCTTTTGGAGCCTGCCAATTCTAGAAAGTGAGGATTGAGCAGGTATAGCAGAGGGAGCTAGCTTTATCAGTGTAGGTGGTGCAATACTATTGGTAGAGAGTAGTCACATGATATGCTCATGTTCAGAAATGTCACAAAATTGATGGGGTACGTTGAATGCTGCACTGATTTTTTTAACAATGCTTAGAGGACAGAGGAACATACAAGATAGTTTTGCACGAGGGAGGTAAATACCTATCAGAAATACATTTTCAGTTGAACAAAAATGTTAACTTTTTTATGCAGTATGCTCACAAATTGCTTGTGTGTATGTCATTCAGTATTGTAACTTGAGCTATGCATTTGCCTAGTGATTTACAATTTGTGTTCAGAATTATTAGTTGGATACAGGTCAAAGGGCAATAAAACAACAAAATTAACTATAAACAGATGTATACTATTGTAAGCCTTAAGCTATTTATGATAAACAATTCTAGTTTCCTATTACAATTTGCAGTCATTCTAGAAAGGGTAAATTAGATTTATTTCATGTTTTATTATGGTGGTTACAAGGTTGGTCAAAGGTTGTTTTTTATTAATAAAGTTATTTTAATTTGGCGAGTATTTCGCCACTACTTTATATTCTGTTTTGCATTTTGTGATTTCCTTGCCTATGCAATTATTTTGTTACTTGAACTAATCTTTTTACTTCAAATATGTATAAAGTTAGGGTATAAAAACTAAGAGATAAAGTATAAAGTTTTCCTGAAAAAATAAAGTTTTATATTTATTTAGGACATTTTTAGAGACTATGCAAATGAAACTTGACAATTTTTCATATGAAGAAAAGTGTTTTTAAGCTTAACATGAAAATCACTTTGCACTTGGAGCTGTCAGCACTCTGACACAATATATTCATGGAGAAATATTTAGTAAAAATATTTAATTGAAAAATACAATTTTTTGTGTACAAAAAACTTGTAATGGTTACTAAAAGCTTGCCACAAGACGTGTGTGAAGATACACCAAACATTAAAAGTTATGTTATAGAAACTCTGATGGTCATTTTATGGTCAAAAGTTCAGTGTAGTCCATCAAGCCTGTAGCGAGAGGGTTAAATTACTTCATTGTGTTATTGTGACAAGATTTTTTTTGCTGGCTGTTTTATAGACAATAATTAGAAATATTTTACCAAACAAATGATTGTCTTAGGTTTTTATTAATAGTTTTTAATTGACAGTGTTTGAAAATTGTACATAGTAAAAAAAATTATTTCTTGTAAAATTTATAATGACATTGAAAGTATAGTGATTTACCTTTCCCTCTCGTTGTGAAGTTTAATTTTTTTGGATTGTTCAGATTCTTGGTAGCTTAAAAGTTTTAAATTTGTTTCTTGTAAATTTTGAGGTTTTTCAAATTTGGATGGGATATGTCATAGTTCTGTAACTAACTTTAAACTACCATTTTGTGTTTTAACTAGTGTGTTGCAAAGAACACACCTAAGTATGTGTATCTAATAAAACACTGTATTAATTTACATTTTTACTTTCTCTGTTATTTGTTCTGAGCCAGATCACAGATTAAAGATTTAGAGAAATTTATCATGTGGATTTAAGCTGTTTATTTCTATGACTTAACAAAGGATTTTTAGATGTTACATACTTAACAACATACAAACCTGAAGAGCATATTTGTAAGAGTGTTTAATTCTATTTCAAAATTACTAAACTCCATCTACTTGAAAGAAAAAAAAATATTTGTACTTTCTATAATGTTTATATCCATCAGATTTATAATGAAAAATTAGCATAGAAATGTTTAAACAGATGAATAAATTTTATAATAAATGATAAGAAAATGGTTTTCAAAAGTTTAATGGATGTTTGTTTTCAGTCATTAAGCTTTGGGTACTACACAGCAGAAAAGCAAACCTACTGTTTTTAATTAGTATTTATTGATATGCCCAGCCACAGTTAGCATAGTCACTATAATCTATTTTAAGTTTTAATCAGTTGCAAAAGCTCAACTGTACAGGCATTTGTGTGGGATGGCTTATTTTTAGAGAGCAGCATATTTTGTATTTATATGACAATGAGTTCCTTTTAACTTTCCAGTCTGATAAGTAGATTGAGCAAAGCTTTGTCTCACGTATTTATGCAGGAGCAACACATGATTGTGAAGCAAAACCATATAAGAATTTTGCATAACTTCAAGCTTGTTTGAGAAACAAGTCAACTGACAATTATTTTACTATAAAAGCCAGAACATTTTAGACCTATAAATTCTGTAACAGTCTAATGGTAAATTTTAAAAATAGAAACAATTCTGACTGTAATATAGCTGATCATTGGATTAAGGAATTGGGTTGTGGGGATGGTAAGATTCGTTTTGCATAGGGTGACAAATTTTATTGAGCTGGCCTTGATTGATTGATAATATACTTGTAGATAATAATAGTATGTAATGCTTATAGTTAGTAATATGTAATAATTGATGTAATTCATTCTTTTTGTTCACTTATACAGAGGTTAAGTACATTTTAAAAAACTGTTTTGAAACCTTACCATGTTGACATGTCCAGTCATGCTCTATCTGATGACTGTGTGTCTTGACAATAGCCCTGTAGTAAAGTTTCCATTATAAGAGCCTTCAATGTAACGCTGTCATATCCAAAGCTTTCCCCTCATTCTTACTTTCAAAATCTATCTAAAGTACCAGTATGATGGTTTCCCAATTAGTGCTTGTGTTAACTGTCTTTTTACACAGAAATCCATAGGTGCTACATCCAGTGACTTGACCAGTATGTTCTTGTACAAAATAGCATGAATAACCATTTAATTTTCCAGCTGCTTGAAACAGTTGAAGAGGAAGTATAACTGTAAGCCTTATCTTGGGGAATACTTATCCTGATGGCCTTGTTTCCAGGCAGAGATTGTTTTTGATTATGTTGTGTACTATTGCTTGGGGAATGTTGACAGCTTTTGCCATTGATTTTAGTGTTCATGGATTTCCACCTCATACAAGGTGGTTCATTTTCCTTACCATGGCTGGGGTACGACTTATTGCAGATTTTCTAGGTGGTCCTGGTGCTCCAAGTTAATCAATATTCCTTTGTTTTCCAATGTCATTAAGTACAAAGGATATTTCCGTCGTGGAAATTCTACATCTCTGATCTGAATACATTTTTAAGATTTGAGTGAACGAATATTTTGCTTCTAAAAGGGCTGTTACGTACCCTTCCAAAAAAGTAATAAATTGTCAGTGGTATAGCGCTATCTTCATAATGCTAAATAGTGACAAAATATAGTTGATGTAGTTCTGATACATGCTGTTTCACTGCCACTTTACATTGGCTGTGGTTGCCACATGAATTGCTGATTTCCATATTCAAAATTGTTTTGATGTAACATACTCAATCCACTATATTGTATTATTGTATATTTATTATATGTTTATGATTTTCTCTATTGTCTAAGATTGTTTATTAAACACAATGAACTATTAAGTATTGCTTAACTGTCTCAAAAAATATACACTTTATTATTATTATTATAAGAAATCATTATTTAGCAGATTTAAAAGGTTAATAATTCACACAGTTATTCTACAGTTAGAAAAATTTATAACAGAATTATTTATGCTGTATAGGGTAGTGTTGTTAAAAAAAGAATATAATAACATCCCTTATTGATCATTGTTATTTACAGGCTTTATCAGTTCATCACATAGCTCCAGAAAGTTGGGAAGGTTTAATTAACCACTCACCGGCCATGGCCTTGGTTATGTATGTTTTTGTAAGCCAGGACGATAATCTTGGTGAGTTTTTTGGCAGTATTATCCCCGTAACACATTTATATTTTGGAAATCATATGCCAAAAGTCACACTGGGGAAGGTTGCACAGAACTGTCCTAGACTCACAGAATTAGTCATTAACTCCAATGGAAATTCCTTAATAGACAATGAGATTGTAGCAGTAGCAAAGAATTGTAAAAAGCTAAGCTCTCTTGGACTTGGCATCAGTGAACTGTCCTGTTCAGCTCTTGTTCAACTTGCCAAAATTTGTGGACCTCGGTTAAAAGAATTGTATGTAATGGAAGAGTCCCTTGTTGAAGATGAGCACTATGACATAACTCATGCTGCAGCTGAAATTTCAAGGTGCATAGGCCAGGACTGGGGCCCAGATGTCATGCCTGTGTGGTGATTTTGCACTAAATGATAACTGTGCTGAAGTTCAGACTTCATATGCCTTTGTGGGAAAATTATATTCACGTGTCACTAGATATCGGACCTCAATGTCATACATGTATTTATGTGAGAATATTATGTTACCACAACTGGGAACCACATGTAGTCCATGTGTAGTATTATTGTCTCAACATGTATAATCACAGGAATAAACAACATGGTTATTAAATATTTAAATAATGAAAGACAGAGAGAATAGACTAGGGCTTAAGTATATGTTTGACAGGTTTGTAGAGAAGCTGTAGTTGATAGAAGCTACATTTAGATCTGGAATAGTTCAAAGCTAGAAATGGAATATTCTGTTGCTGGGTAAGGTGTATTAAAAGGGATTTCAACTGATATGTATCTTAGTATTGTTGTTTCATTTCTTTTATCAACATTTGTTTAGGAGTGGAATGTGGACATCATTTTCATTTAGCAAGCATGTAGATGTATACCTTGAAGTAAGTTAGAAATATTGAATGTGCTTTTAGCTTTCTTTAAGAATTACTGGTGATAACTCCTAAACATATTTATTTAATGTTCTAGAGATCTATTCAACATATAAGTATGAAAAAACAGTCCTTCTGGTTTCATAACTGAAGAATGAAGAAGACTAAATTAGATTATTTAATGAGCATGACATTTCATAAGCTTGTACCAAAGCTACTGGTGTGACAAAAATGTCTATTATATTTCAATAAATATTACATCATGTATTAGAGGAGCTTTAGGATGAATATTTGAAGTTTTATCTGCCTGTAATACAGGAGGGGGAGAATGTTTTAGTCTCTGCATTGAGGCCTTCATCAGGTCTACAATGAAGATCTCAGCACAGTGATCAAAATATTTTCCACTTCTACAGTCCAGTTCATAATAATTACAAGTCTAATTTAGCCATCATTATGTAAATAAAAAAAATTTAAACTAAATTTGGTAGTCAACACAGTTTCTGCTTACTGATGGTGTACTTTAGTTTTGTATAATTCTTTATACTGTGAGCAGCATTTTGTTTGCTCGTGTTTGAAATGATGCAGCTTAAACATTTTACCATAAATTAAAGTATAATTTTTAAAGTTTTTAGCATTTGACGTTCTTCATACATTCAGGAGGTTTAGAAGGATCATTCTAAGTTTAGATAAAGGGTTTTACTGGCTCAAATATTAGGATTTTCTGACATAAATTCAGATTAATATCATAATAAAATATTAGATGAGATACTGCAGGAAATAAAATTGATGATACACAAAAAGTATAGTGTGAGGAATTGGAATTTATTTTGTGAATAAAACCTTGGTTCCTAAACAGAAACAACCTTAATTCTGTTATTACTAATGTGATGAGTATTTAATTTATGTGCATGTTTGCATAGGAAATGTATATTTGTATTATAAAATTAGACATTACTGAAAGTTATGTAAATTATATATTTTTATTCACTTATAAGCACATTTTTCAGTGTATTAGATATTACAAAATTGTTAACATGTCCATGAAAATTTTTTTTTTACCCAAAAGAAACACCTGAATGGTTTTATGCTTAAAATTTTAAAGTCAGATGTCTGCAATGAACGTAGGCCAACTAGTATTTCCAGGTTCTGTGACTTTGATATGGATGGTTGTGTGTATTTATGTAAATTTATAAGCAGTGTTCAAGATTAATACTCATTCTTTGGTCCAAGAATAGTGAAAATAGCTGTAAAGTAATTTTTTTAAAGCACTTACATATATTACCAAGTGAAGCTTGTGAGAAACCAAAGGAGATACTTAACAAAGGCCTGTAGCAAATGACATGCTATTTCACCTTTAATATTCCATTACCTTGATATAACAGACCACATGAGAGAATTTTTATGGTAAAAAGTAGATCAAGAGAGTAAAACTTGAGAGAAGTGGTATTCTTATGAGTAAAACCAACTTAGGAGAGTAAAACATAAAAGATGTGGTATTTTTGTGATAAAAAGCAGTTTAGCAGAGTAAATGTGAGAGATATGAAAATTCTTTCATGCCATGTTATCAGATCCATTTCACATTAGTTTCTGAACCTAAGTGAGAGGGGCTGTCAGTGAATGTGGGCACATACAAGTTTTTGGTTTTATTAACTCCTGGCTTAGAAGCATTGCTTCTATATATCCACAAGTGGCACTCGGTTAATAAGAGAAAGTAAACACACCTGCAGATAATAAGCATTAATAAAAGTGAAGTAATGTGTTTATATGTAGAAAGTTGTTCAGTGAAAAAAAAAGTAATTTATGTATTATCTGAAAGCTTTAAAAATTATCAGGTAATCCAAAAGTTTGAAAACAGTAGATAAAACTTAGAATTCCAAGACAATACCTTGCCTCTACTCACAGAATGCATCTGCCTGTGAAATTTGCATGCCACTAGCCTTGAGGTAATTCCCACCTAAAATTCATATGTTTATTGTGAACTGTGCAGGTGCATCATGACATCATGCTACAAAAGCCCTCCATCAACAGGAGAGCGACATAACCTCAGTTCACAGTAACTCCCCTTAAGTACTTGCACTCGAAATAACTTAGTTTTTTTCCTCAGCTTGGCCTTATATAGATATATTTTGATTTTTCAGTCTCAGCTCAATTAGCTGAAACTTGCATTTGTACAAAGAACTTAGGTTTAATTCTACCTTAGCCTTTGTTTCAAAAGCATTGAAGATTATTACAAGTTCTCAAATGACTGTGACTTCGACTTTTTTCTATGAGGATGATGAAGTTATAAACACAGGAGCTGTTTCTACTATGGCTTCTGGAGGCTTGTTGACTGCTATGGACATTATAGCTATTATGCAGCATGTTGTGGATTTCTTCATGCATACTAGGCCTTCCTCTCTTGTTCCTTCTGCTGACACCATTTCACCTCAGTTTGGGTATGACCAAGAAGATGACAAATTTGACCAACTATTCCCACCACTTGGGTTTGCTTTGGGTACCACCTTACTGGTCGAGGAAAATCCTGGCCCTTCCAGTCTTTTTCAGGATATGAGTTCTCAGGTATGTTCCTTCTTTTCTCTTTTGCCTGTGTCCTTTGATTCTTCCTGTTCTTTACTCCATGAAACCAATTCTCGAGATTACTTTGTCTTTCCTCCTTCACCTGATATTAGGGTTCATGCTGATTCCTTTGTCAACCAACTCTGCACCTATAATCACATGCCTTGTCCTCCTCACTTTTTTGACTCTTTTTGTCTTAGCTTGTGTCCATTCTTTTTCTAGATTCTCAATCTTTGGAATATGTTTTGCATGCTTGGGGAGCAAACCCCTTGTCTTCTGTTTCACTCTCTAGTACCCAGTTTCATGTCTTTGTCTTTTTCTCACCATCATCCTGTGTTACCTTCGCTCCCTCCCTCCATTTTATGTCTGAGGCACTTCATTGCACCCCAGAGGAGTTTTCTGGAGAGATTTGTTCCATTCTGTTTACTACCTTGGCCCATACTGCTTCTGCTCTGTCCCTCCTTATTTGATTCTTCTGTTGTTGAGACTTGTTGGTTTGGAGTGTGCACCTCATTAATGTCTGCCTTCCTCCTCCTTACTTAAGGGAGCTTTTCCGGGCTCCCTTTGTTTGCCTGGAACTATTTGGTGATATTCCTGATTCATAGTTCATGTTAAATATGTGTATTTTAGCTCAAGGTATGCAAATTTCATAGGCAGACGCACAAGGGATATGGCAATTCTGTGTTGGGAGGAAATACATTTTCAGATTAGGAAAATGTTAATATTAGAAAATGCCAATTAAAGTTTATACAAGAAGAAATACTATCATAAGGTGATAGCATACAATGCAGTCTTTTGTAGTGAATATCAACCTATAAGCACTTCAGAAAACAATTTTATAGATAGTGAGGTAATAGTTATTTTTCTTATGAAAATTTATTTGTACTCTTAGAAACTGTGTGTAATAATTTTTCAACTTTAAGGAATGAATTACAGTAGGAAAAGCTTTACTAATGGTCAAAATTTGTAAAATGGATGAATTTATGTTCATTGAATACAGTTAATGATTTGTAATTTCATGAAAAATTTAGTTCATAAGGAAATATGTGTATAATGATATTAAAATGCTAGAAGTTACTGTCTGTATACATAAATATACTTTTGGTGTTAATGGCTAGGTTTAGCGTTTACAGCAGAAGTCAGTCCCATTGGGGGTGAGCTTATATGTGAACTAGTAAAATTATGAAGTTGTTCTTTTAAACTAGTAACTTATACAACTTGTGTGTGTGTTTTATTTTATTCAGTTTATTTTAAAGTAATAAACTTCTGTTAATGAATGTTCATTCTCACTGATTAGTACTGTTAATAAGGTACCATAAATAATAGTATGGAATTCATAGATAATACATCAACTTTTTGAAAAGTACTGCCTGTGTTACTAGTCCATATTATGCTACAACCATTACATTTGTACATGACTTCATATTGTTACGTCTCCGTTTGTTAATTGATTTTCCGTAACTTCGTTCCAACGAAACTTTAACGACACAAGTCTTTACTTAATAAAACTGGTTTATTCTTTCGGAATATAACTCTGCGATACACTTAATCTCAATACTCGCGCTAAAACAACACTGTAACGAACGAACGTTAACTTCAACAATATCGTGTGACTGCAGTTCAATTACTCACTATCTACTCCTTACCGCGTCACGTTGTCCCCTCCTATATATATATATATATCTGCCCACCCTATATTTATTAAGAACTTGAACATTCGCCAAAGAACATGATAGTTCTAGAAACGTTGCGTCATAGTAGTCACGTGACTCGCTGACGCAACAATTTGAATTTTAATTGCGAGTGTTCACAATGTTTCTGATCTTGATAGGTAATACAATTATACTATACTATTTTCTCTTGGTTATCAGACAGCTAAGATAATGTGTGTTTTACTTATTATACTAGCAGAGACTCGCAATACATTTGCGGTCAAATTAATATCTTTATTGCAACAGTACTTCTTTAAATAAAGGCTTTCTAGAATAATACAAAAGAATTATAATCGCAAATACCGAAATCTGCAAGTCCACTTGTCTTAGGCTTAACATTAGTTAAGCCTTTATTAAGTACAGCGTATATTCGATAAAAGAGATAAATTAACTGTATCTCATGTATGTTTTAGTTTAGTTAGGGCTAAACTTTACCATACTTAGTGCTACTTATAAATAAATTTATAATGTTATTCTACGATATAACTTTAGGTTTTTTTTATCAACTTTGATAAGCTTTTAACACGTACAACGTGTCTACTAAAGTATATTTGTATTCGCCTTTAGTTTTCATCCTTTGAAGTGAAGTGCGCGCGCATTTTCAGGACAGACAAAAACTGAGTATTATTATAATAGATTGTTAGAAATTTGGTTTTAAGAATAATAATTTTTAATTTATTTCTGTGTTTTCAAAAATGGTTTTCGCTTTATTTACTTATTTTACTGATAATATTCACAATATGAGAGTATGTGATAAGTTGTGTAAACAAGGTGGCTAATACACAGGTATGTTTTACATTTCCTACATATTTAAAGCTCCCACGTTGGTGAAGCAGGTTATTGGTGTTGTATGATCAGCCTTTTATAGATCCTTAAGTGTTTAAGAACTTTTTTCTTTTTAAAGTAGCATAACTTTCACTAACTTGTTAAAAGTGAACAAAGATAGTTCAGCAAATATAAAGTTTCAATCATTAACTTGTACAGGTATACAAGAACAAAAAAAAACATCTTAACACTACATACACTAAAAATGATCACATAACTTTATATGATTTTTAGTTAAAACTAATTCTAGGCCATTGGCATTTAATATTGCAGTTAAATAATAAAAAAATATTAACGACGCTATAAAGATTTGCGAGAAGAAGAGTTATGAAGAAGAATGTTTCTCTGAATGATTGTTAACGTATATGAATAAATATCTTTGACTTCTATTTACATAATTTATTTTGTTTCTTAAATTAGTAAAAAAAATATCCTAAGCACATCCAAGCTTAGATTTTAAGCATAAGTATGTATTTATCTTCGAAAGAACTAAGAGAAGTAGCATGTATTGAGTAATAGTATTTCTTAAGGTTTTCTTCATCACTTATAGAATTTGGGAAGAGAAAGTTATCTTTTCAAACCCTCTAGGCATGTTTGGGAAAGGTCACACTAGTATTAGATCTCTTGAACTGTATATGGTGAAAAAATGATTTTATGGGTTTATGTAGTTTTCATTTCATTAAAGAACACTACCCATCATAAGTTAAAATTAATTACCATGGATTATAGCATTGGTCAAAACAGAATTATTATTATTTTGTTAATCCAGTACCTGCTTAGTTGAATGTATTTATCAGTGCTGTACTATACCCACTCAATATGGTCTTACCATAGGGGTGTACTTTGACAAGGTTTTCACACTCAATCCAATTATATATGATTTTTAGGGCCTTTCTGTAGTAAAGCTAGTGGGCTACAATCCTTATCTGTAGTGGAAACAGCATTGGTGTTACACCTTGTGTAGATTTGTGCTAAAACAAACAAACCGAACCACCTATCTTTTGTCTGGATTTTTAAAACAGTGGCACAGCGGTATGTCTGCGGACTTGCAACGCTAGAGCACAGATAGCTCATTGTGTAGCTTTGTGCTTAACTTCAAACAACAACATCGTTTGAAAAAGACAAATGTATTGTTACGTCTCTGTTCGTTTGTTAATTTTCCATAAAAATTCTTTCCGAAGAAACTTTAGCGATACAAGTCCTTTCTTAAATAAAACTGGTTTATTCTTTCTAAATACAACTTTGCAATACACTTAATTTCCACAGTCACGCTATAACAAATACTATATTTCACGTGCTTGACTCAACAATAGTCTCTCTCTGTCCGCAGTTCAATTACCATTGTTGCCATCAGTTCTTGGCAGCTTATATACAAGACTACCGCATATCTAGTAGTCTCTTGAGGTTTCATGAATGTTCTAGAAGCTCATAACGTGTTACTAGCGTCATGTGACTTCCGCTATCGTAACAGTATTTTAGCATGTAGCAGAAAATTTAAGCATGCGTGCTTTTGTAATAATTACGATTAAAAAAACCCTTTTATAAATTGAACGCTGAAGTGACGGCTTTTGTTTTCTGCAAGCTTTGTGTAAAAGGTGTCTGAAACACACCAGTAGCAATAAATTACATAACGTAATAACTAATTATCATATATAAAAATTGTCATAGGATGAGGTTGTTTTGGAGAATCAAAGAAAAATGCTGTCTTTCTGTCAATTAAGAATTGCGTAATCAAAAATTGTGTGCCTTCAGATATCAAAAAGCGTAATAACTAAACTTATGTATGTACTAGTATAATTTCTTTCTAGCTGTGTTACGTTTTAAAGATCATATTACTGCAAACCATGAATTCTGTATTAGTTTCTACAAAAGCACAGGGCAGCCAATTTCCGTTTAATTTTTTAACTTGACATTCCATAAAAAAACAACTAAAAGATACTAACCTTGTGAAGAATTATTACTAAATAATGTAGATTTAAAGCATTATTATAATGTAAGTATTTTATATTCTCTATCTGAACGACATCTTACAGGACAAATGGGCTAAAGGGCCACGTCAGAAAACCTTAAGGTCCAAGCTTATCCATCTCTAATGTAGAACTGCTGACCGAAGAGAGAGGGCAATCAGTTAGAAGCACACATTGTTTACACGGCCCATCTTAACGAAATAGCGAGATTTTCTGTCACAGTTATAAAGCTCCCACAGCTGAAGGCGTGGAATGAAATTAGAGGCATATCGCGACTGAAACCTTGGACCTTATAATCTGCAGGTCGGCATGCTAACCATTAAGTTATCACTTCCGCTAGTATAGAAAAAAACAACAACGTATGACTGTCAGAAAACGGAATGACTTTTATATCAGTAGGATAATAGTGTAAAATTTCGAGATCTCCAGTAATGTTTGGTTCATTAAGAAAGGATTTACGTTCAAGCTTGTATAAAAGAAGGATTCAGCATGGAGCCAGAAACGTTGTCACCAATAAACACAATACAGGAAAAAAAAAAAAAAAACTTAAATTTCGACCACACTACCTAAAGCAACCTTCAAAGAACATATTAAGTTGACTCGTTTGTAGTATCTTATATTTAGTTGTATGGTCAAGGATCTGTGCTACCTAAAGAAAGTTTGTATTTTTTAAATATATATTATTACATAACTTTTTCTTATTTAGTTTCGATATTTTGTGCGTGGGTGGATGAACTTTCATTATTATGTCTCCACAGAGAAATGCTCTTTTTCAGTCGTTTTTTCTTCTTCTTCCAAACACTTTTCAATCGATCGCCATTCCTTCATTTCTCTGTGGATTGACTTTAAACTTCCAATACGATCAAATTTTTTTCATTTTGATTTAGGCCTTTTTAAGGATTTTATGAGGTCAAAGTTCAACTATAAATGTATATTTTGGGCTCGAGTGCGGTCATATTTACAGCAATCAAGATGAAAATTGGCACAAATATAAATTTTCATGGGCCCAACACATTAGCTTAAACAAATTCGTTTTGCTCAATTTGAGTCTTTTTTTAGGGGGGAATAACAGCTCCAAAAGCATAATTTTGGGGGTTTTGGTTATTGCTCAGCCATATTTTGAATAATTTGCATGGAATTTGGAACAGAGATACCTTCTTGCAGATCCCAAGCAGTTATATAGACAGTTTTCGATATTCCCGGGTTTTTCACGATTTTTCTGGTGTCAAAACTGACCGAGTTGGAATTGCTGAGATGTGTTGGATTTGCCCGTGAATGTTGGCCTCTTTATTTATCGATCTATTTTTATGGCTCACTGGCTACTATTATAGGCGAATTTTGTAGACGTTTCTTAACTTTCTTTATTATTCATTTACTACTATTGCTTAAAGTATACAGATTTATTATTTTTAGTGATAAAAATCTGTAACATCGGGAATATCATCAAAGACATCTTAACAGAAAAGTGGTATAACCTGTAAATCAACAAGATGTGTAAAACAAACATAAATAAAAAATCGGTGACTAGACGAAGCGTTTATGAAAACCTCTGTATTAGAAATATGCTAGAAACCCGAGTATAGCTATTATAAAACTTATGACAACTTTGCAATTTGATATCAAACGATCCACATCGTTTCCCTTATCCTTTGATAGGCCGATTGGAAATTCTTCAGGCAAACAAGTGGGGATGCCTTCTAGAGGGATTGAGTTCAAGGTCTTTCCTTCATGCTGTGGTGGGGACCGACATCTATTGTCTCTCATGATTGTGGGTACAACAAGGGCGTGATCAGCCATCCATCGAAGCCGACAATCACACGGGACGAGGTTTCCAGAAACATTTACAGATGTTGAAGTCTCGGGAAGCAGTCCGTCTAGAACACCGGGACGTAGGTTGAAGAACTTATTGTTGATAATACGAAGTTTTTCTATGTTTCTGGACCCGGCAAACACAGCACGATCAGTAGTATCAATGTTGTTGTCCTCTAGAGATATCAATTTAGTGTTAGAAAGGCCTTGAAAAGTACGGGTTCTCAAATAACCAATCCGGGACTTGATAATAATCAAGGTGGACACAGAAGTCAATCCACGAAAGGTGTCAGTTAGTAGTTCATCAATGTCTAAGACCTCCAATCGTAAAAGAGAAACATTGGTCAGTCCATTAAAAGCATTTGGCTCAATAGTTTGAATTTTGTAAGGTAAGTGCAACAGTTCTACATTGTGCAGGCCCTGGAAGGCAAAGCTATGGAGAACTTTTATAGGATTACCTTGCAAAGATAAAGTTTTGATATTTCCGCTATCAGAAAAGGCGTCAGCTTCTACAGCGGCAACACGATTGTAGCCCAGATATAAACTACGAACACGATAAATACCAGAAAAAGCTCGTGAAGACAAGACTGTTAAAGGGTTGTTTTGAAGGCTTAGCACTTCTAAGTCGCCAAGTCCTAGGAAAGCATCAGGTGCAACTTCTGAAATTAGGTTGTTGTCTAGAATGAGCCGTCGAAGGTAGGTTAGGTTACGGAATTGAGCGAAACCTATCCTCCTAATCCTGTTATTGGAGAGAGAGAGCTGACGGGTAAGTTGTGGAAGATCAGAAGGGACAGCTTCGAGGCCAGCGTTGTTGCACATTACCTAGAGAGAGTAAGAATTTTTTTAGAGATACTCACGACTCAAATATACTTCAATAACGCAGCTTCGAATGGGTAGATAAAGATATTTTTAGGATGTTTAATCACTTACAAGCGGTATGTGATCACGTAAAGTGTCAAACATCATAAAAATAAATAGCTTGTTTACTTACTCAAAACTGCTTTAATAAAGTATAGTACAGTAATTAATTTCAGTAAAAAGTAAGCTAGAAGTTTAAACAAAAATTCGAACATTCTGTTACATGGCATTATTATTATTATTATTCATCTGTTCATATATACATACAATATATCAGTGGTCTCCAATCATTTTTCACATTAGGTCACTTCAGATAATGACCATAAAACCAAGCGCTGGGCCTGAACTTGTTGGGGAATAAATTATTCCCCAAATACAGTTTTGTTTACTTTTATCATTTCTAATCATATTGCGGGCCACGAATCACGTTGTCGAGGGCCTGTCAGTTGGAGACCACTGCAATACGGTAATGCAAATTTCTATTGGGTAAAATCAGTTAAATAATGCACTTAACAACTTTTGCAAACAAATAATTCAGTCTAAACCAAAACTGATACAAGGATGTGGTAATTATAAATCTCCATATTTTTACACACTGGTATGAACCAAATACCCAATATAATTTTACTAATTAAATAAAGTGCGCATTGTTACGTAATAAATATGTTGGGCAAGCAAACCTTCGGGAATATAACGTATTGTTTCAACATGTAGCCCAATTTTTGACTATGCGTTATGGCTCCACAGATGACGGCCAACAACGTGTCGTCGATGTTCGACTACTCATTAGATCAACGCGTTATGGCCCTGTAGATCAGCAGCCAACACTACCATATCATATTCACTCAATGCATTGGATTAACACATTGGTTAGAAGTTAAATCCTTGCCATGGCTTTACAAGACACGTAAGGTTGGTGCTTTCCAATTCCGGTTCCAATGACATAAGAAGATAAGAATGATGACCCATTCCACCTAGACGGGATGGCAATCCATCGAAGGTTATCCCCCCCCCCCCATATCCCTCAGATAGGTATCCATTTTACAACTGGGTAGATTAGAACAAGTCTAGCTCAAGGACACAACAGCATGACATGGGACAGCGTCAAACTCGAAACCATCGGACTACGAGCCCAAAACCATTGAATCACGATGTCCTGGTTTAACATGTTATGGCCCTACAAACCGGTAGCAAACAAGGTCACAGCATATTAATTCAATGGATGTCAAAGTAACCAATCACACTTCATGTTACAATTTTGTTGTTTTTTATTTAAGAAAAGTGCTGCATCTGTCAGCTTCTGTTTCGTGTAAATAACGATAGATGTCAGGAGAATGAATCAGTTACAATGTAAACTACATAATATAGTCAAGAGGCCAGCATTTACAGTCCCTACCCCTGACCAAGCTAGGCTTCCCTGATCTGGTCACTGTGTAAGTATAAAGATTAAAATTTTCACACTATTATCCTAAACTAGCTGACCCCCGTCATATGACGGTAAATGCTTTTTTATTTCTGAAAATTAAAATATATTTTGTGTATAATTGGTCATCTCTTATATGTTCAAATGTTCTTCTTGATAAAACCTTTTAAGTTGAACCAGCAAAGGCAATGAATTTTATAGTGAAGGGTAAATTCGAGAAGGTATAAGTTTTCATTGAAAATGCTTATAAATTGTTGAGTAATTTTCTTTAAAATCTCTTACTGAAGGCGAAAAGCATCAATAATAATGTATTGTAGCACCATCTATTGCGCTGAAAAGATACTTAAGTTATTTTCGATACATACAGTCACTCGTGTTTATTATGTAATATTATACTATCCTTATTTAATCTATAACTGTAATCGTATTTTACAGAATATTCAAAACGCTTGCTGTAAATATGCTAATAAATATTTTTAAAAAGCTACCATGAAATTCCGAATTTTGGGATTTAAACTCGAAACTTCTACATAATAGTAGAGCACTATAAACACTGTGACACCCAGTCTTTGTAATTGTGTTGACAAATAATTCAAGTTCATAATATAAAGTGTCATATTATTGTGTTTATCTATTATTGTAATGTCTTTCTATAAATATAATGAACTAATAATTAAAGTTATAAAAAGTCCCCACTCGACTGAGATTTGAACTGGAGGTTTCAGCTTGAGACAAATCACTGAGCTAACAAAGCGAGTGGAACGTTGCTAACAAATGGGAGGTAAATCACAGGTAAAACATCAAAATTTTGTTAATCTTCATATTTAGTACAACAGAAACTCATTGGAAGTGCTTGAGTTCAGCAAACAGTTAATATTTTGTGTGTCCCCCTTTTGCTTTAATAACTGCAGACATTCTTTCAGACATTGTTGCAACAAATTTAATCAAAGTGTCCTTTGGAATTCTACTACAAATGTTTCTAATACACTCCCATAAAGTTTCTTTGAAAGTAACTCTTGATCTATCAAATCCCAGATCTGCTTAATTGGGGCCAATGCATCATTTGAATAACTCCAGCAGCTTCTTTCTTAGCTAAGTAATTTCTCCATAGGTTGGATGAGTGTTTGGGGTCATTATCTTCTTGGTAGTAGAATCCAATAATACGCAAACCACTAGGTATATCATGACGGATCCATCTATTTTGCAAATATCTCCTGTCGCCTCATCAGAAACCATCACACTGCCTCCTTCATGCTTCATTGTAGGTGTTATGCATTGAGGTAAGCATCTTTCACATTTCTTCCGCTGGACATACAACCTTAACTTTGAACCCGATATTTCAAACTTGGACTCATCCCTTTTCCAATCAACTACAATCCACTTTAAGTCTCTTGATAACATTTGAACTTCGAAGTAAAGGTATTTGAACTGCTACACGACCAAATATTCCATTCTTGTTGAGCATTCTTGATACTGTAGATCTGGACACTTTTCTGTCATTTGGTACATGGTCGTTTATCTCATACTTGAGATCAGTGGCAGTCTTCCTTCTGTCCTGAAGGCCGCATAAACGATAATACTTAACATCGGTATCATTGAGTTTATGTGTTCTGCCTCTTCCTTTCCTATTTTCAAACTTACCCATCTGGGTCTCACGATCTAGAGTGTACTTGATAGTATTTGGGGAGCATTTCATGTCTGCAGCAATTTGTCGGAGAGCCCAACCAGAATCACGTAAAGCTTTTATACGAACTCTCTGCTCTACTGACAATTCTCTATGCTATTTGGGCCGTGGCATGACAACAAAACTTAATATATATAGTGTTAAACGCTGTTTTTATCAAGGTTTATTTGTGGAGTGTTATCAAATTGATTTCTTCTAGCCTATACCTGTACCATATGCTAGCTTCTTTCTATACAGTTAAGACACTGCATGGAGTACCATGACAGTTATTTCGACCCTAAATTTGATCACTATGTTCATTCAAGCAGAACCATTATGATATGCCCTTGGTACAAGTATATGGAAATTCTAAAGAATAATAAGTATACTCACCCTGGCCCATTCAATTGTCAATAGGGATCAGTGAAGCATTATCATATTGTTGAAATTTACATTCTATAATGGCATGGAAGAATTAGCCCCATAAAATGAAAAGAATGAAAAAATATTCTCTTTTCCTAACATTTTTTCGGAGTACTGTATACATAGATAGATAATATACCTAAAATGATGTAGCCTCAGAATACAAATCAATAGCTTGAACTATTTTTCTGGTGTCAAAACTGACCGAGTTGGAATTGCTGAGAC